TATGCACACACACACACACACACACACACACACACACACACACACACACACACACACACACACACACTTGCTCTCTCCAATTAAGAATCCAATAACTAAGAGAGGGTAATATCTGGCCTGAGGGTCACATAGCCACTCAAAATCATTTGATCTGGCATTGCTAAAGAAACTATAGGCAGGACTTCAAAATTCAATAAACCTAGCTTTTTTCATAGCAACATAAACATCAATACCAGCGAACATCACATACCAAATGGCTCATGCAGAAAAAAGTTTTCCACACAATTATTTTCCCACTGTGTCTCTTCAAATCATGAATAAATATACAGTTGTCATTTAGTACTCATGGAGGATTAGTTCCACCACCCTTCACGAACACCAACATCATGTATTCTCAAATCTCTTACATAAAATAATGTATTGGCCAAGCATGGTGGCGTTCAGAATGTTAAGGCACAAAGATCATAATTTCAAAGCTAGCCTGGGCTACAGAGCAAATTGTAGACTACATAGTAAAACCTGTCTCAATAGTAGATAATAGCATCCTATTCAAACTAAACCTATACACATCTTCCCACATGCTTTCCAGCACTTCTAGATCAATAATATAATGTAAATGTTATGTAAATTACTGCATTAATTAAGGAATAATAATGAGGGGGAAAGTCTATATATGTTCAATTACAGATACAATTTTTTTCCTAGTATTTTTCATTGAAGGTTTGGTGAATCAGCAGTGTAGAGCCTATGGACAAAGAGGACTAATAGTATTAAATAAGCACAGATCTTTTGAGTGTCATGGAGTTAGTAGTTTTCTACTCACAGACACAGACACATGGTCATTTAGTTACTACTTCCTTATTATAAACCATTCATAATGTCAACTTTTCTTCTAAATAGCTTCTCAGATAATGGAATATTATAATGGAATATTATTTCATTTTTATAAGCCACAAGCTGTAATTGCAATATGCTGCTGTGAAATTTTAGTCTATATTAAAAGATTTAGCTTCTAAAACAGAGTTAATAAATTAGTTTAAAATTATTTTACAAAATGCTTTCATTAATTTTTACTAGACATACATACAGTATGACACTTGCCTTCATTGGCATGAGTGCCAGGAAATCTGTGATGAGGTTATGAGTTCTTCGGATATAAAATTCCTCTTGATAGAAGTTTTCGGACACCACCACAGACTCAGTGAGGAACAGGAAAACACTGTCAGCAATTGCAAGTTCTGCCATTGCCTCATCTGCTTCTGTGAATTCAGCCAAAGCTAGAAATACATCAAAGAAAAAGCAGAGGAAGTTCATTGAATTAGGTTGAATTTGATACTTCTCAAATTTCTACTAGATCATGTATAAAAATAAACCATGAACCACTGTAATTGATGTAAACTCTAAAGAACTTCTGAAAAAGTACATTAGAAAAACATGTTCTTCTTAATAATATGAGCGATGAAGATTATTTTAGGGATGTTTAATGTTAACAGATGTTGTCAGAGAACTACTAACCAAACATTAATACATTAAAATGACAATGAGGCTTTAATCCCAATGAATTCTTTTTCTTTTCTTTTTTCTTTTTTGGTCGGTTGGTCGGTCGTAGGGCTTGCTCTGGGCCTGGGTACTATCCCTGTGCTCTTTAGCTCCAAGTGAGCGCTCTACAGCTTGAGCCACAGCACCACTTCTGGTTTTCTAGTGGTTTATTGGAGATAAAGTCTCACAGACTTTCCTGCCAGGGCTGGCTTTGAACTGTGATCCTCAGATCTCAGCCTCCAGAGTAGCTAGGATTAAAGACATGAGCCACCAGCGCCCAGCTCCCAATGAATTGCTGGTTAAAAAAACACAAAACTGGGCTGGGAAGGTGGCTCAGTGGTAGAGCACTTGCCTTGCATGCATGAGGCCGTGGGTTCGATTCCTCAGCACCATATAAGCAAAAAGAAAAAAAAAGCCGGAAGTGGCGCTGTTGCTCAAGTGGTAGAGCGCTAGCCTTGAGCTGAAGAGCTGAGGGACAGCGCCCAGGCCCAGAGTTCAGGCCCCATGACCGGACCCAAAAACAAAACAAAACAAAAAAACACAAAACTTGGGCTGGGAAGGTGGCTTAGTGGTAGAGTGCTTGCCTAGCATGCATGAAACCTTGGGTTCGATTCCTCAGCACCACATAACCAGAAAAAGCTGGAAGTAGTACTGTGGCTCAAGTGGTAGAACACTCGCCTTGAACTGAAGAGCTGAGAGACATTGCCCAGGCTCACAGTTCAGGCCCCATGACTGACCAAAAAAAAAAAAAAAAAAATCTCACCAGACTCGGATGGCTCACACCTGTAATCCTAGCTACTTAGGAGGCTGAGATCTGAGGATCGCAGGTCAAAGACAGCCCAGGCGGAAAAGTCCAAGAGACTTTTATCTCCAAATAAAACCACTAGAAAACTGGAAGTGGCACTGTAGCTCAAGCGATAGAGCACTTGCCTTGAGCTGAAGAGCACAGGGACAGCACCCAAACACAGAGTTCAAGCCCCACGACCGACAAAAAAAAAAAACAAAAAAACTTCAAGTCAATCAATAAAGACCAGAAACCTAGACACGATGAGTTAAATAACTATTAATTTGGTAATCAAGTAGCTAAACCCTTAAACATAAACTGGACTACCTGTAATCTTTTATATGCTTTACTTGGAAATTTTCAAACAGCTATATATCATCAGACTAACATGATATCCACAAGGCCATCATTTCATTTTAGTATTATCAATTTAGTTAATATTTCTCCTCTCCATTTGCATTATTACACTGAAGCAAATTTCAGACATTTTAACATTTTCCCATTAAGTATGTCAAGATGCAACTCAAAAAGATACTTAAGAAACAAACCATAGAAATGTACACAATATTATTATCACCTCTTAAAAAATAATTTCTCATGAGATGTACAAGTTGTTATGTCAAAAACAAACTTTACAACTTTGGTGGGGGGGGGAGGATTGGGTGGGGGGCTGGGGGGATGATGGGAAAGGATGGGAAGGGGAAACAAAGGAGGAGGCTACAATGCTTTATAAGAAATGTACTCATTATCTTGCCCATGTAATTGTAACCCCTCTGTACAGTATTTTCACAATAAAAATAAATGAAAAAAAATTCTCAATTTCAAATATGCACAAGTAATGCTCAAATTTACAACTGTTTCTTTCATAAATGCCATGACAAGTTTTTTGCAGTTTATCTTTTGTCATCTACTTGCTTAAATAGACTCAAATAAGGTCTATAAAGCAAAAGCTGCAGGCTGGGAATGTGGTTTAGTGGTAGAGTGCTTGCCTACTACACATGAAGTCCTGGGTTCAATTCCTCAATATCACATATACAGAAAAAGGCAAAGTGGTGCCATGGCTTGAGTGGTAGCATGCTAGCCTTGAGCAAAAGAAGCTCAGGGGCAGTGCCCAGGCCCTGAGTTCAAGTTCCAAGACTAACCAAAAAAAAGAAAAAGAGCAAAAGCTGCAATAACTGATCCATCTGTAGACTTCCATACATCTTTTTTGCTTTCTCTTTACTAAAGAAACTGGTTTTTTTTTTGTCCCATAGGTTTTGCCCACAATGTGGTATGACACTACATCCGAGCAACACAGACCATCCTTCCTCTACATATAGCAAAGTCTGATAGTCTGATCTAGAGAGGTCTGGTCTAATTCTGAATTTTTGTGTTTTTTTTGTTTTTTGTTTTTTTTTGGTTTTTGTCCGTTTGTGGGGCCTGAACTCTGGGCCTGGGCGCTGTCCCTCAGCTCTTCAGCTCAAGGCTAACGCTCTACCACTTGAGCCACAGTGCCACTTCCAGCTTTTTCTTTTTGCTTATGTGGTGGTGAGGAATAGAACTCAGGGCCTCAGGCATGCAAGGCACGCGCTCTACCACTAAGCCACCTTCCCAGCCCCTCAGCAGTGTATTTCTTGATGGAAGAGTGCAACAGTGCTTATGACAGACTCAACAAAAATTTAGAATCAGGGCTGGGAAGGTGGCTCAGTGGTAGAGCGCTTGCCTTGCATGCCTGAGGCCCTGAGTTCGATTCCTCACCACCACATAAGCAAAAAGAAAAAAGCCGGAAGTGGCGCTGTGGCTCAAGTGGTAGAGTGCTAGCCTTGAGCTGAAGAGCTGAGGGACAGCGCCCAGGCCCAGAGTTCAGGCCCATGACCGGACCCAAAAAAAAAAAGAAATACACTGCTGATAATTTCTGTTAAGTTTCAAATATAAAATTGCTAGGTCATTTTATGGCAATCTGACTTTGAAAAAGAAGTGCTACACAGTTTGTTCTGCTGGCCTATCAAAGAAATCAAATATATAGTACATTACTGAAACTGCATTTTTACTGCCTTGAATAAGGTCAAAAAAATGTATATAATCCAGGTAGCCTCACCACGTAAATGCTTAAAGAGTAGTGAAAAGTGAAAAGGGTATGTAGGACTGATGAAGAGAATTTGTATATAAATGTACAAATCTAATAGTCTAATAGTTGCTTTTTTTTTTTTTTTGGTCAGTCATGGGGCTTGAACTCTGGACCTAGGGGCTGTCCCTCAGCTCTTCAGTTCAAGGCCAGCACTCTACTGCTTGAGCCACAGTCCCACTTCTGGTTTATTGGAGATAAGAGTCTCACTGGGCACTGGGCGCAGGTGGCTCACGTGTGCAATCTTAGCTACTCAAGAGGCTGAGATCTGAGGATCGTGGTTCAAAGCCAGCCCCGGCAGGAAAGTCCGTAAAACTCTTATCGCCAATAAACTATTAGAAAACAGGAAGTGGCGCTGTGGCACAAGCGGTAGACCGCCTGCCTTGAGCTGAAAAGCTGAGGGACAGTGCCCAGGCCCAGAGTTCAAGCCCCACGACCAACCAACCAGGGGAAAAAAAAAAGGCTCACAGACTTCCCTGCCCATGATGGCTTTGAACCATGATCCTCAGATCTCAGCCTCCTGAGTAGCTAGGATTACAGGCCTGAGCCACTGGCGCCTGGCTCCCAAGATTTCTGAAAACCCCTTAGAAACAGTCTGATACTAGTGAACAAAATGTTCTGCAATTACACAGTTAATAAGATACTAGAATCTGCTGATATCTACTAAGACTAGAAAACATAAGGCATGGATTGTAAGCTTGAACAAAGCCTTAAAACATGTGACACAAAAACAGCAGTGATAATTTTTAGACTTCAAATTACAATGAAAGCATAATTTGCATTTTGGAAGGCAATATTCTATTAATATGATAACTATATGAATGCAAAAAAACAGAATACAATATGCTATATAGACTGTCAAAATTTTCCTGACTATTCTCGATTGTTCCAAATAATCTTTTAATACAGTTTTTGTTCCAGTTCTGGGGCTTGAATTTGGGGCCCAGGCAAGACTTGAGCCACACAGTTCTACTTACAACTTTTATTTACTTGCTAATTGGAGCAGACTTTCTTGGCCAGCATTACTTCAAACTGCTATCCTCAGATCCTCCTGAGTAGGGAGGATTTACAGGTATGAACCACTTGTGCCTGCTACTTATATATCTTAAAATAGGAAATTTTTAATTTGATACAATGTGAACAAATCAAGATGGAAAATATATAAAATATATTTAGGATTTAGCTCAGTGGTAGAGTACTTGCACAGCATATAATATATGTGAGAGTAAAGCCTATTCAATCCCCACCACTAAGATAAGTGATATTGGGGCTGGGAAGGTGGCTCAGTGATAGAGTGCTTGCCTTGCATGCATGAGGCCCTGGGTTAGATTCCTCAGCACCACATAAGCAAAAAGAAAAAAGGCCGAAGTGGCGCTGTGGCTCAAGTGGTAGAGCACTAGCCTTGAGCTGAAGAGCTGAGGGACAGCACCCAGGCCCAGAGTTCAGGGCCCATGACCGGACCAAAAAAAAAAAAATAAGTGATATTGTCAACTTGAATTTTATTTTCATTTACTTTTCTTTTGGCAGTCCTGGAGATTGAACTCAGGGCCTTGGATACTGTCCCAGAGCTGCTTTGCTCAAGGCTGGCGCTCTTCTACTTTAGCTACAACACTACTTCCAGCTTTCTTTTTTGAGGGGGGAGGAAGGTGGTAATGGGAGAGAAGAGTCTCAGACTTTCTTGTGCAGGCTTTAATCCATAATCCTCAGATCTCAGTCTCTTGAGTAGCTAGTATTACAGGTGTGAGCCACTGGTGACTGGCACCATTTTAAACTTTTAAACTCTTATTTTAGGCTAGGCACTGGTAGCTCACACTGGTAATCCTAGTTACTCAGGAGGCTGAGATATGAGGAATGAGTTCAAAGCCAGCTAGTCCAGAAAAGTCCAATGCACTGATTTCCAATTAACCTTCAAAAAGCCAAAATTATAGCTGTGGCTCAAGTGACAGAGCACTGATCTTGAGGAATAGGCTAAGTAAGAGACAGAGCCATGGCCTTAAATTTAAGCCCTAGCACTGGCATAAAAAATATAAATAGCCAGGAGCCAGTGGCTCACGTCTATAACCCTAGCTACTCAGGAGGCTGAGATCTAAGGATCGAGGTTCAAAGCCAGCCCGGGCAGGAAAGTCCATGAGACTTGTATCTCCAATAAACCATTCAAAAACCAAAGTGGTGCTGTGGCTCAAGCGATAGAGTGCTTGCCTTGAGCTGAAGAGCTCAGGGACAGCAGCGCCCAAGCCCAACGACCGACCAAAAAAAAAAAAGTGTGTATGTATGTATATATATAAACTCTTATGCTGAAGGTAAAAGAGCTTTGTCACAAGATTCAAAAATGAGAAATAATTTATACAGTTTCTTTTCAGATAAGGGAAAAAGGTGTCTATTTCACTGCCAATTTACAAAATTTCATGTATAATTTCCCCTCTAGTTTCTTAATGACTGAGACGATGTTTCTTGAGACACAATCACCTATACTTTACCTGTCACATCAGGTAACTGAGATATTCCCCTCAAAGCCAGTGCCCAAGCAAGTCTAATAGTGGCTTGAAGCCCAGGCAGTTTCCAAGGCTGAGAGTCCTGAAGACGAGAGTGAATTGTTGCAATGTACTGCCTCTCTGTCAATAGTGGAAGCTGATGAATCACATCTAAAAACACAAGAACAGACCACAAACCCAAAATTGCATAAATTCTTACTTTTGATACAAGGGGTTAACGTCTGAAGGTTAGAAAATCTGAACAATTTCAAGTAAGTAACATTAATGCTTGACATATCTTAAAAGACATAATTATTCAGCACTGTTGACACATAAAACGGACAATAGCCTTCTATTTTAAATAATTTTGGTTATTTTCATAAGTCTAATATAAATTAGAAAAGAGTCACCCCTTTTCCCCAAAAGTTCTGAAGTACAAATAAATGCTATCTAATGATCAAAATATTGATTCTATGCAATGAAAAATCAAAGATGAAACACTATTAAAAATCAGTCAGCATCCTATGTTCTCCTGAAAATTTTCAAAATGTGAATGGTAGAGAAATAAGTAATTACAGCAAATTAGGCTTACATAACATATATATGTGGTATATAGTTTTTAACATCTCCATTCAAATGTGTAAAAAAAAACAACAGGAACAAATAACTTTTTTTGGTGATAACTGTAAATCAGAGTAGCATACGTGTTAAGCAAACTTTCCATTACTGAGCTACATCTCTAGAATTAAATATGATCTTTTGGCTAAATACTCAAATAAGGATAAAGCACACACACAGGAACAAAACAGACCTCTGTGAATTTTAGCAATTAAAATACTGCCTTCTTAAATGTTAACTCCACAATTTAGGATCTGATTTTTAAAAGTTAATGCACGGTATAATCTCAGCACTTAGGGGACTGAGGCAGCATTTCTAGATCAGTATCAAGCTGGGTAACACACAGGTCTCAAAGAAATAAAATGTATTAAAAATATAAAATTCAATACCATCTCGTTCTTCAGTGCTTTGCTCTATAAAACTGATATCAAAACAGTACAGAAGAGCCATAAGAAGAGCCAGATTCACAGCATCCAGAGAGCCATTAGCCTCAACTGTCACTCTTTCCAAATGTCCAATAAGGAGGAGAGTATCATCTTTGCCTAACGGAGACTGGCAAGCCCAGGCAAAAAGACTTTCTGCCAGAGACTGTCTACACTCCTTAATGAGATCAGAAACCTAGAAATGAAAACATGATCAGTGTAAATAAATCACAGTGAAGCCTGGTCACATAAAATGAAAACTACTGCCAAGTACTGCTGGTTCATGCCTGTAATCCTAGCTACTCAGAAGGATGAGATCTAAGGATCATGGTTAGAATCCAACTGGGACATGAAAGTTTGTGAGATTTATCTCCAATTAACCATCAAAAAGCTGTAAGTGCAGCTGTGGCTCTGTGGTCCAGCATTAGCCTTGAGCACAAAAGCTCAAGGATACCACCCAGACCTTCCTTATTAGGGCTAAAACAATAAACCTATCTAAATTCACATTATCTAATACCTCATCTCTGGAATTCTGGCATTCTGAACAAATCCTATTTCTAATTCTTTATGGTTAAATTACTTAAGAAATGGTTCTTTATGGTTAAATTACTTAAGAAATGTGAACCCTGGTGGCTCACACCTGTAATCCTAGCTACTCAGGAGGCTGAGATCTGAGGATCACGGTTCAAAGCCATCCCCGGGCAGGAAAGTCCGTGAGACTCTTATCTGCAATAAAGCACTAGAAAACTGGAAGTGGCGCTGTGGCTCAAGTGGTAGAGCGCTTGCCTTGAGCTTAAGATTGCAAGGACAGCGCCCAAGCCCAGAGTTCAAGCCCCATGACCAACAAACAAACAAAAAAAGAAATGCAGTGACTGCCGGGCAACGGTGGCTCACGCCTGTAATCCTAGCTACTCAGGAAGCTGAGATCTGAGGATCACAGTTCAAAGTCAGGCCAGGCAGGAAAGTCCATGAGACTCTTATCTCCAATTAACTGCCAGAAAACCAGAGGTGGCGCAGTGGCTCAAGTGGTAGAGTGCTAGATTGAGCTGAAGAGTTGAGGGACAGTGCACAGGTCCAGAGTTCAAGCCAAAAAAAGAAAGAAAGAAAGAAATGCAGTGACTGATTCCTTGAAGAATTCATTTCGGAAAAAAAAAACTTACAACGGCACATAAATGACAATATATAACAATTGCCAATGGATCTCAGACACAGTCACTACATACTTCAAAGTGCAGCGTTGTTTCTTTTGTTTACGTGACAAGAACATTCTTTTTTTTCCCTTTTTTGTGGCACTGGTGTTTGAAAATAGACTTTGTAATTGCTAGACAGGCATTCTACCCCTTGCACATGCTCCCATTTTTCAAGTCTCATGTTTTAGACCACAAGTTTCCTAATTATGCCTCCTATGTAGCTTGTATTACAAATGTCATATCTAGATTATTAAGATGGAAATATAGCAAATGTTTTGCCCAGATTGGCAACGAGCTGTGATCCTCCCTCAGAAGGTAAAGACCTCTTGAGTAGCTGGAATCATAGGTGTGAATCACTGCATCTGGCCAAAGATATTCAAACTGTCACAAGTGTTCTAAAATTTGAAAAGGACAACACATGAATTGATGTCTTGCCTCTTTACGATGTTTCTCACTGCCCAATCCTCTTTCTCGCTGCAGTTTCTCAAATTCATTATTCACATCAATCTGTGACAACAGAGTAAGAACTTTATAAGTCAATCCTTGCTCCATCAGCTCATCTGTAAAGCGTGTTGTCATAGAGACCAGCTCTGGACTGTAAAGAAAAGGAAATAAACAAAGGCGATATTAAACAATGATGTTTATACTTCCTTACAATAATTGACATAGCAAATTCTCATTTGACAATAATACATTATTGAAAACAACCAGGATAAACTGCAGTGTAGTTTTTTATCCTTTCCAGGTCATTAAGATTAAAGAAGTTTCTAAATATAATTACTTAGCTGTAAACAAAATAAGCGGGTTTAAAACTGTATGTTATTCCTGATAGAATAAAGGAGCATATTACTCACCTTATCTTATATATTTCACTGAAATTACATACAAAAAGTAGAAATTTTTATTTCTAAAGTAGCAATTCTTCAATTAAATTACCCTCTAAAAAAACTGAAGAAGCAAACAGACCTGAGTTCTAGAGTCCATGTCTTTCCTCGTCTAGACTGTACCAAGGCTTTAAGGGAATTCGAAATGCACCGCTTTCCATCCCAATATAAAAGAACAGCTACTAATCCTCTGGTGAGACCAGGAAAATGTGGCTGTTGGTGCTCTCCTAGAAAAGGAAATTGAGAAATAATTCAACAAATAACCACAAATGCATTGAGGATTAGGCAAAAATCCCTCTATCAATACCCGGGTCAAAGAACCATAGGATCTCAGTGGAGGGAACGCTTTGGGACAGTTCTCTTCTTTCCCCATCCACTGATTCCCTCCTGTCACAGCAGATTTACAGGGCCATCTAGACCATGCCCAAATGAATACCAGCAGCAACCTGACGTTCTCCACTTTCCAACTCACCCAATTTTCATTACCTCTCTCATTTATACACACACTATGTTGCCCCTTTTTGCCTACTGTTACAATTTTATCCAATGCCCATTTTATTTTTACTCACATGAAATCTTTCAAATATTTGGAAGTTTCTTCTCCTAGTCTTCTCTGAACTATCTTTTTTTCAGTTCAAGTTCCCTCATCCTTTTTTTTTTTGTTGGTCGTGGGGCTTGAACTCTGGGCTTGGGCGCTGTCCCTGCACTCTTCTGCTCAAGGCTTTGAACCGTAATCCTCAGATCTCAGCCTCCTGTGTAGCTAGGATTACAGGCGTGAGCCACTGGCGCCCGGTTTTCCTCATCCTTTTAATCGGCTCTTATCAACTTGGTCTTTTTTAGAGTTCCTTTCCTATATTTTCAGTATGACTCCTACAGCTTTCTTCCCTCCTTCTCCAATGACCTCTCCATTGCACTCCCTTCATCTTCCCAAGTTCATCATCTTGCTTTTCTCTCCTGGACAGACATTTCCTCCAACTTGATGGCGTCTGTCCTCCTGACTATACCCTATTGCATGAGACAGCTGCCTATTCCTTTTGCAACACATGCAAAGATATCTCTATATAAGCTAGAGTGAAACTAATCCCCTTCCTACTAACCATCACTAAATCATACACAAACTTGAATACAATGAGTTATGTCAAAATTGTGTGCACATCTTTTTAGTTAGTAGACTGCGTGCTCCTTTATACTGCTTTACTCTTTATATTTACAGTGCTTGATATAGAAGAAATGTTTCTTAAGTTCTGAGTTAACATCCCCCTTCCAGAAAAGAAAACTATCTTCCTCATTCTCTTAAGTCAAATAGGATTTATATAGCTACATATCTTTAGCCCCTTTAAACATTTGTTCAGAAAACATGTTTTCTTCAAACACCGCCTCTGTGTAGCCACAATTTAATTTCAAAATTATTCTTCCAAAGTTATTCTTCATTATCAACAAATTTTCATAAAACAAGTAAAATCCAATTAACTTTCATGGCCTACAATACCCAATACAATCTGACTTCCTTTTATATGCTCTCCCTCATTCACGATGATGCCCTAGCCTGGCTGTCTTTTTGTGCTACAACAAGCCTTTGCCCCCACTTTAACCACCTGGTACTTGATGTGCCAGAAACACCCTTCCCCAACAGGGCTGTTTAGCTGGTACCGCCTCACCATTTAGGTCTCAGCACAAATGTCTCTATCTCAGAAAGGACTTCCCCAAATACCTTAACTAGAATTACCCCAGCCAGATCTCACCTATGGACCAATACCTTGTTTCACTTTCTTTCTATGAGTCATTGTTATTGAAAGTTTCTTACTTTTTACATAGGCATGCATTATCCGAATCATGCCTCCAAAACATGACCTTACTATCCTACCAATATTTGACAATATATGATTTGTACTACAAAACTCTGGAGATGAAACCACTTTTAAGTTAACATGGAAAAGGCCACCTACCGTAAAACAGATAATTAACATTAACAACTATGATCATTAACACCTTTACTTTAATCAAAAGTAAGCAAAAGGAAATAATAATTTTGAATACAGTTTTGTCAAATGAACTGCATCCTTAAAAATTGTTTTGCAAGGAAGTGGCGCTGTGGCTCAAGTGGTAGAGTGCTAGCTTTGAGCTGAAGAGCTGAGGGACAGCGCCCAGGCCCAGAGTTCAAGCCCCACGACTGACAAAAAAAAAAATTATTTTGCAAAAAATAAAAATAAGGGCTGGGAAGGTGGTTCAGTGGTAGAGCACTTGCCTTGCATGCATGAGGTCCTGGGTTCAATTCCGCAGCACCACATAAGAAGAAAAAGCTGGAAGTGGCGTTGTGGCTCAAGTGGTAGAGCACTAGTCTTGAGCTGAAGAGCTGAAGGACAGCTCCCAAGCCCAGAGTTCAGGCCCCACGACCGGCAAAAATAAAAATAAAGATAAAAGACTATTTTTGAATTTATACCATCTAAGATTTTAAACTATGTGTGCATTGAGTATAATTCTGCACTCCTTAAAAGTTTCAATTAAATGTCAACCTACCAGCAAGGAGAAGCTCCACAGCTGCCAATTCTCCAATATCGAAAAGGTCGCTGAGAATAAAGGCTTCTTTAATGAGCTGTTCAGGAAGAAGTCGGGTTCCCTGTTGACCCTGGATGGCAACTCCCTCTGTACTGGCTTTCTGGACCTTCTCATGCTGTTGAACATTCTTTGGCTAGAATGATAAAATTCTAATCAAGTAATGAAAACAGTACAACAGAGACAAGGTCCTAAAGCACTGCTTCAGCTGTTTATGCAGGATAGTGACCAGACAAACTGAAGTACTCCATATCATCTGCTCTAGAAACGGACCTTTATGAAGTAACATCTTGTACTAGTGCTCTACCACTTGAACCACAGTGCCACTTCTGGTTTTCTGGTGGTTAATTGGAGATAAAAGTCTTAAGGACTTTCCTGCCTATGCTGGCAGGATCTCAGCCCCTTGAGTAGCTAGGATTACAGGCATGAGCCACCGGCACCTGGCTTACCTTTAACTTTTTAATCCTCCTCTTCCTACTACTACATTTTCAATAAACTTTCTGCTAAACTGGACTATAAAATTTAGAGAACACATAAAAAATTTAACAAAAACACAAAATAGCCTTCTATATTTCAACTTTCCAAGGAGTTTGTCCAATTATATGCCTAACAAAGAAAAATTTCAAGTTCTTCAAATTTCTAACAAATGAGCACAGGAATTGTTGAATTACTCAGAAGAGTGAACCATACTTTAGATGTAGCTTCATTTCCTAAAAGATTCTTCAATACAAGTATTTAATAATTGAGTCAAGTGCTAGTTGCTCAAGCCTATAATCCTAGCTACTCAGAAGGTGAAGAGCTGAAGATCCTTGTTTAAAGCCAACCCAGGCAGAAATGTCCAGAAGACTCATATCTACAATTAACGAGCAAAAAATGCGAAGTGAATTTATGGCTCAAGTGGTAATGAGCTATCACTGGGCAAAAAAGTAAGTGTGAGCACTAGGTCCTGAGTTCAAGCCCCACTTTCAGCACACAAAGTATTAAGTATATAGTATATAGTGTAGATTTATCTGATAGATTACAAATCTTAAAAGTTCAGATTTGGGGGGAAGGGGGGGTCATGGGTTTAGAACTCAGGACCTGGCACTGCCCCTGAGCACTTATGCTTAAAGCTAGCACTCTACCACTTTGAGCCACAGAACTACTTCCTAGATTTTCTTTTTTTGTCAGTCATGGAACTTGAACTCTGGGCCTAGTCACTGTTTCTGAGCTCTTCAGCTCAAGGCAAGCACTCTACCACTTGAGCCATAGCACCGCTTCTGGTTTTCCTGTGCTTTATAGGAGATAAGAGTCTCAGGAATTCCTTGCTAGGTCTAGCTTTGAACCACAGTCCTCAGATCTCAGCCTCCAGTGTAGCTAGGATTATAGGCATGAGCCATGGGCCCCTGGCTTAGATTTTTTTTTTTAGAGGCTGTGTAAATCATTTAACCTAACTCTTCTATTACAGAATAGAAAATGATACCCAGCTAAGTCAGATAATTCATCCTAGTCTTAAAATTCTCTAGTGGTAGAATCAAGACTAGAACTCAGTTCCACTGGCTCCCCAGCTTTCTTCTAAAGGCAAAAAAAAAAAAGCTAAAAAGAAAAAGGTGATTTCTTATAATACAATCCTGCAGTTGTTTCTAGATGATTATATTTATATATAAAAGAACTGTCAATCAGCAAGAAAAAGGGCTCTATATTTGAATCTTCTCCATTCACTACTTCTAGTTACAAAGGATTTCAAGATAAAGAGATTAGTGACACATATTAGTTCCAGTATCTGAAAATAACCTTCCAAAGTCAAGGCTTTTTGTGTCTGGTTTTGCTTTAGGGTAATAGAATTTAGTTACACATTGATTCTCCTGCCTCTACCTCCCAAGTGCTGGGATTATAGGTACGTATCACTATACCTGGCTAATGTGACTTATGTTATCATTCAGAATTCTACTGTAGTTAGCTAGCATTTTTTAACTATACTCAATTTCACAAATCATCAAGTATTATGAAGCTCATCCTTGAATACTATAAATTCAATAGTAGGCCAGGCACTGGTGGCTCACACCTGTAATCCTAGCCATTTAGGAGACTGAGAACTAAGCATTGTGGTTCAAAGCCAGCATCGGCAGAAAAGTCCATATGACTCATCAACAATTAGCCATCAGAAAACCAGAAGTGGAGCTGTGGCTCAAAGTGGTAGAACACTAGCCTTGAGCTCAGGGACAGCACCCAGGCCCTAAGTTCAAGCCCAGGACCAACACCCCCCCCAAAAAAAAAAATGCAATAGTAAATTCTATAGAAAACATGAAAATGGTGACATTGATCAAGATGAACTGTACTTATAAACTGATTTATGAATTGAAACTTCTTGGTATTACGTAGTGGTTAAAAAGAAAAAATGGTAAGTGCTCCGAGGAAAAAAGTTACATTTTAAAAGAAAAAGAATCACTAGAATAGTTGAAGCAACAAAATTTATTTATATGCATTAAGAGTTTACTTGCTCTTTCAATCCCTTAGAAGAAAAAGAAACAAATCTAAGAAAAAAAGCAATTTCCTACTGGATTTCTGAATAAGGAGATGAAATCAGGTTTGTGTTTCTTCAAAATCATGTCAAGAAGGTGGACAGCTTCAGGTTGTCTTCTCCAAAGAGCATTTCCAACGGTCTGCCAAATGTCTTTGTAAGGACCCCATAGGCTAGCAGCTTAAAGAAAAAAAATAAAGTAAAATCAGTTCCAAATAAAACATATACCTGGAAAATAATGTAAGGTTATTACCTACATGTTAGTCACTTCACTTTTTAATGTGAGTTAAATATACATACCAACAACATAAACATGTTTTCTAACTAATATGAAATTAAATAAATCCAACTAAACTGGATATGGCTGAGCCTGGTGTTACCACCTTATGAGCTATGTGACCTAGAAAATGAGAAACCTCCTGTATTTGGTTTCCTTATATATAAAACAGGAGTATCAACCACTCCTAAGGCATGTAAGTTTTTAAATGAGATAAACTAGGTAATTCAAGCACAGCCCTAAGCTTTCTGTGTGTATTAATACAACACCTTATACGTTGTCTCTCATTTTACAAATAGAGAAATTGAGGAAGAAGGATCAAAATACACAGCTAAGGTCACACTGGATACATAGAACTTGAACCCAGGCAGGCTGGCATTAGCATGCTCTAACCACTAGGTTATAGTGTATTTGCACATAATACTTGGCAAGTGAAAATGTTTCGTATGAATTTAAGTATGTCAGAGATATCTGCTAAATAGTATAGTCAAAGATGAAATAAAGATCACATTTGGACAGCTCAGGCAACTATGACTAAAATTAACTATATTTGCTTACCTAAAAATACTTATACCCTATAATGAATAGTAAGGTTGAATCATAAAGAATAAGAGAATAAATCTTGATCTTTAAAAAGTTGAATGATGAGATGTACAAGAGACTATGTTGAGTTGATGTTTATTTTTAGTCTTTTTTGGGGGGGTCCGGTCATGGGGCCTGAACTCTGGGCCTGGGCACCGTCCCTCAGCTCTTCAGCTCAAGGCTAGCACTCTACCACTTGAGCCACAGTGCCACTT